GTTCCACTCCAGAGGAATGACCCTCATTTTAATTCATTTGTGAGAATCAATTGGCTGCTCGCTGTTCATAACTCAAATACTATTTGTATCTAATATATTATCTGCGGTTGAACAAATTTCGTATTTCAAGTTCACATAGTTCTGTTTGTAGCTCAGCTAAATGAATTAATCATGGAAAGCCGTGATTTCTTCCTTGGGATCTTATACCTACCGGGCACAACACAACAGTGACAATATGAAAAAAAAATCTGTAGAAGTATAGAAAAATGAAGTTTGCCTTACCCGTGCAGTTATCTTCAGATGTAATTATATCGTTCGTTGCGTGACAGTTCCAAGAATCGGGAGGTTTTCTCGGAAGACAATTAAATCACTTTCACAATTTAAAACATTTAAGGCTATCTTTCTCAATTAGTTATCGTTCAGCGAAGAATTTATGTCTTTGCACGTCAGTTACAGATAAAATTGCCTTCGTCTGGGAACCAAAATTAAAATATCAATGCAGAATTTCCAGTGAAAATTCTTCCGATTGACTTAATTCGTTCCAGACTCTTCGCGGAATAAAATAGACGCCTGGCAAAAACGTGATTTTAAGCGAAACTTGGCAGTCAAATCGATCGCGAAAGTCAGTTTTTTTCGCTCTTCCATAATGTTCTGACAATAAATAGTTGTTTCAAAGTTACGTTCGTATCAATAGACCACTACCACGAAAGGGAAAGTCCCAAAGTGTAAATGTATTTCTATTTCGTCGCAGAAATATTTCAATTCCATATTATAACATGACCGTTAAGAGCATTCGAGCAGGAAAGGTTTCTCAAGAAACAGATTGTAGATGACATTTACCGCCCACCTCGACAACCTCGACTTCAGGTTTCATAAAAAATGAAACTTAGAAAATATCAGCACGTTTTCGAATGTGCAGACCGAGTTCGTTGCTTTTCAATCTTGTTTTGTGTAGCGCATGGAAAAACAATATCGTCAAAGCAGTAACTAGGCAATTGTTGAAGGAATAGTGGACTATCTATAGCTGGAGAACTAAGGATATCACCCAAAACTGCCTCAGGAAATCAACGAGTATACAAAACAACTGTCAACAAATCAACTCCAACAATTTATTTCTGAGAATTTTTATCGAATATTTTACACATTACAATATCTGCATTTTACGTTTTCGTATGCTTACGTCAAGTTTTTGACGTTAGAAAGTAAAAAAAAAAGAAACAGCTTTTGCAAGGTATCAGGATCGAAAGTAATTAATAATATTAAGAAGGGTATGAATAGTTTCACACAATGACAAAAATTTGAAAAATAAAAGCAATTTTCAATGGCAAGATTATTTTAAATGACTAACTTAAAATGTGCACATAGTTTTAATAGAGCCGGTATGTATATTACACTTATGGGAATTTAACGCGTATCCTGGTATTAGTTGGGTTACGAGAGGTTAAAACATAACTCTAAGTAGATGTGAACTGATATAGCATCGTTTGCTGAAGCACATAATGGACGAGACGAAAGGTGATATTAAATGAACGACGCTAATTTCTATACATACCTGGGCAAGCCTTTTTCTAGAATAAAATATTTACTAAAACGTACGAAAATGAAATGGTCTACGTGACACTGTCGCTAGCCCAACTGAAGCATAACAAATTTAATCCATAATGGTGGTATTTGAATAGATTAAAATGTTTCAATTTCTCTGCTGACACTTCTTGAATCAATTACCGAACAATTGTGTCTTGTCAAACGTTTCATTTCTGATAGTTCAAGCCTTTTCCTCGATTGCACATCGTCCTTACGGCCTTTCTGAGGTTACCTAAGGCTAGGCAAGAACCATACTCTGTCTACAGTCGAGGTGATCTGATCCAGACAAATCTTATCTTCATTCTCGAGTTTATCCTGAAAATTAAGAAGATTTATTAGCTCTGATGATAAAACGAAACATTAAACTGAAATACTACGCTGTCTGGTGACAAATACGTTGACAAGCTGGGAAAAACAGATCGTCCCGCCATTTAAGGAGAGCAAACCTGTTATGTTATGTTGATATTGTAAATAAAAACATTTAGTTAAACAACGTAGAAAATTGTGTTCCATTTCGACATTTCATCACTTAGAAAGAGCAAAGTGAAGACATGATTAAAACGGCTGGCGAAATTCCTATATTGATTACAGCTGAATTTCGAGACAATAATTCATAATTGAAGACAACGAATAATGCGAACAAGATGCGATTGTTATAATGCTCGTTACCTGATGTTTCTTCGTCGTCACTCCATTTGTAAAATGTTCCTTCGCGCCGTCCTCTTCTCAATTTTTCTTCTAAAATCTCCTCTGTCTCACCTGAAAGAACAGGAGAAAATGTTAGGAACCAACCAAACATATATCTCGATGGAAAGCAATGAAAACGAACCTCCTGGTTCTGGAGTCACAAAGGCAGTCGGAGGTGTGAGAGTACAAGCCCAAGCTAGAGCGGCCTTTTTGAGACGTTTCTCTAGATTTTTAGTGTCGGTTTCTGAATCCATATCGGTTTAACAGAGATGAAACTTGGTTTAAAGCGTTTGTAGAAGCAAATGATGAAAGTTCCACACAACGTGTGACACACAATGACCCGAATATATCACTACACCGCAAACAGCTGCCGGGAGAGTCCCTTTACCCTGCACCCTCAAGCTATGTTGTACCTCAACCAATCACCTCACTGCAATTCTGACAGCTCGTCATTCGCAGTGACATCTAAAAGTTGCAATAATAGACGGCTCAGAGGAGGTAGCTGTGTTTACTTTTTGATCAACCAATCAGCAAGCGAGGTTTGAAAGCGGTCGTGAACTTTATGCAGATTAATGGCTTGGAACAAGATTTCCACACGCAAAGATGCAAAACAAAGAGGAGAGAAAATTTCGAGTGGAAATTGTTACGTAAAACGTTGATTGAAAAGTTTTGGATGCACATTTCATCAAAACTAACGGTTAGATTGGGCGATGGAAAATGCCCATATAAGGTAATGTTTTCATCTTGGACGGTCAGTGACAATACATCTGACGCATAAGCACATTATTTGCGATAAGATCATGGCTATGTAAATAATTTAAGATCTGCCAACAAAGCGTTTCCTTTGTTACGATCGAAACCACTGGCTAAGCACATTCTTGGACGCACACGTAATACAAAAACAGGAAACTGAAAGCGATTACTAAGCACCTTTGGCCTATGATAACAAAGAATTCATTCACGTTATGCAAGTTTTCCCACGATATACATGGCGCCAGCGATTCAACCTAGTGCATCGTTGACAGGCGATTGAAAACCTTTCTGTGACAGGTGCATGTGAGGAGAAAATACAAGATAATCAAAACGGCGCTAACAGCTCTATTTGAAACCATTTCAAGGAAAATAAACTATCTAGAAGAGAACATTATCAAGATTTAAGTCTTGGAAATCGATAGTATACGCCAAGTTGGTCAAAGTGAAAGGAAATTTTTGTGCGTGCAGGTATGCCAAGTCGGTAGTCTTTTGATTGAAACGAATATTGGAGGAAACGAGTAACACTCGAGCGTGGCCCACGCGGAGAAATTTTCCGCGTGTGCCGTTCAGACTTTGAACCATACTTTCAGATGAACCAAAATTCGATTTATATGAATTTGTTGAAAGTCTGTCCGATGTAAGTACTGTGTCATTTTGTGTAATTTGGTTTTACTAACGTTACTGGAGTTGCAAAAGCTGAGGCGAGAGGTTTCCATACTCTGGTCTAAATGTGTTTATCGAGGCACTGGTATAACTCACGCTATAAGTTTCTTAAAAATGGAATTACGGAGGGAACATCACCGTTCATATCCTCTCTTACAGTTGGGATAATCATGTACTTAAAGCTGAGAAATATTTACATGCTTTCTATATCTCTTTGTAGCTCGGGGGATGCTGTAAACGATCAACATAAATCCTTTATGATCAAGGTGAGAAAATAATTGTTTATTGCATAAAGACACGAGGCTGTACAAAAGTGGTCTCACAAGTAATTTTTGTTTATTTCAGTTGTATAGCTTAATGTTACGAATAAGAGATCTTTGCACTGTGGGATGTAAATTGCATTTAGCAATTTCAGGAGGAAGATGTGTACTGTAAAGTGTTCTATGCAGAAATTCTTGTTTATCTTTGTATATGTTAATGTTACAAATATTGGATCTCTGCAGTGTGCACGGTCAATTGCATTTAGCAGTTCAGGAGGACGATATTTTGACTACTTGTACATTTCCACAAATACATATCCACTAGTTAGTTGCCTGAATAAAATGAAATTCATCCTTCATGCGAAAGTGATGCTTGTTTCTGTAGGACTGAGCTGCAAACTTCGATTGACTAAGCAGTGCGATGTTAAGTATTTGAGATGCTCAACAAGAAGACGAGTTGACTTTATGTCGAAATAACGTGAACATAGAATTATTATTATCGGCACTCAGGCAGTTTTGGCTTCTTAGAGCTGTGGAATATTCTATGAGCAACAAAAATTGCACCTAAAATGAACTTCCTAGTAAATAATAGTGTCCTGTGAGGAATCGTAGCTGCTCAAATGATGAATTTATATCAAAATGAACATAGAGTTATTAACTGAGCAATTGACCCAAGGAGGCTTGGTATTTCAGGGGCTATGCACTATGCAACAGAAACTGCACCTGAAATGCTACGATGTTAAAAGAAAATGCATTACAACAACGTAATTGATTGGAAAATGTTTCTTGTGTATCGTAAATAGTCCGTTATATCTTGACATTATCCTTCATCATAATATACATTGATACCATGGCCATTGAGGTTCAGTTGTAACACTCAGAAAGTTATAGGTATTTTTTAAGCAGACAAAGGAAAACCACTTTAAAGTAAAAAACAATCACCGTTGTGTGACATAACGAGGTCAAAATGACTGACAGCATTAAACTAGATTTCCTTTCATTTTTTGTTATGCAAAGCATATAATTTTACGAGGTATTGCACTGACATTTAAACCAACAAATTAAGTCAACCAGTTGTGACCTACGATACTGTCCTTCCAGGCACAACAGCTACAGACTAAAAGTGAGGCATGGAAACAACTTGGTTGTTATTAAGCAAATTCAATGCGAGCGAACGCCATCTGGAGGGCCATTTAAGGCTTGCGCAGATTTATTATTTTTCATATAAGAAGATGTTAAAATGAGCAGATTCTAGGAGATCTTCGCGCGCAAAAATAATTCCAAAATTTCGTAGGCTCTGCCTATTTCATGGCATGGTCAAAAAATGAGGCCTAGAATCGATATTTTTCTTGCGCAAAGGATAAAAATAGAAATACATATTTTGGACACTGACGAAAGTTGCGCGGTAAATCCAGGTACAGGGATTTTCCCATTCTACCTGACGTTTCCCGTGCATTTGATTGGCTAACATATAAAAACAAGCATATAAAAACCCATCCCAAGTCAGTTTTGCTCGCCTTCAAGACGTACACTGGGTGGGAAAATTGGAAAAGACGAATTTAGTTTTGCTGTGCATTCAGTATGGAACCAGGTGAACCCCAGGGTCGTAATCGATACGAAATCCTTAAAATCTGGATCCCTACACATGGAGTCGTGAACATTTACCGAAGCCCACGCGGCGGTAAGAATGACGTTAAAGGCAAAAATTGAATTTTGAGATTCATAATAACTTAACTGAGCTTTCATCTCTACAGAATACCACGCTGACAATGGATTTATACTCGAGAGGCCTGTCAAAAGATATGGTGTAGAAAAACTCCGAGTTTTGGCCTCGCAAGGTGGTGTTATCAAAATCACAAGGGACGCAAGTGTTCAAGACATGCAAAACAAGTACACAATCGAGCCGAGCCTTTCAATGGACCAGACTGCGGTTTGGGTTGACGACCCTTAGCCTTGATGAAAAGGTAAGTACAGACATTGATCTATTGGTTGTGATTGCAATAGTCGGGTTTAACTTTCTGTTCTGGGGCTTACGATTAAAGAGGAAATAAAAATTTTACAAGCGTTCGCAGTAAGGTGATGAGTCAGCAAGTTTGCTCGCAAAAGCAATGCAATGTAGCTACGTCGATAAATACGGAATATCTGGTGTGACCAGTCAAACCGTATAGCAATGAAAACTTTAAATTATTGAGTTCTTTCTGAAAGGAGTCCATTTTGTTCTTCAATATAGGAAACCCCGACGACGACATGACAAGGAACAAGAGTGAGAGGGAGAGAGAGCGTCAGCATTTGTTTCGTATCTTGTGTTAAAAATTCAACATTCTGTAATAAAATTGATTTGATTGTTTGAAACGGTGCCTGTTGTCTTTGTTTATTGACATCAAAACTTTTGGTATAAAAATGCATTTTACTTGCAAGCGAGATTTAGGGCAAAAATAGGCCATGACGCAATGAAGAGGTTCGCTGCTTCTGGATTGTGCGCAGAAGCGCGAAAATACGAGTACGCCTCGTGAATCGAAAACTGGAAATATTTCCAACGTATCTGACTTCCACAAAGATATACTTCGATAATTTAAAAAATGGCCGGGTATGAACCAGAAGAGCCGGAGTTTTCTGACGATTCTGAATATTGTCAAGCAGTTAGAATAGGGCGGCACGATAAAGGCGCCGAACTCACAATCTTCCATACGCCGAATGAAGGTTAGTCGAGATTAATTTCAGGATTTTTCAAACTTATGACCCAGATTTCATCAATAAAATGCGTGAAATATATTCTTAGGATACCAAATTCACAACGGATAGCTAGCAGAGCAGAAGACACTTTACAGTCATGGTAGACGTTATGACAAGTTGACAATAGTTACATCCAGAGGGAAAAAAATCGTCGTTCGTCGATATGAAGACGATGAAGGTGATTTCATATAATTCAGTCTTGAAAAATATTCACAGAAACATGGTGTAATTCTCAACCTTTCTCACTTTTGTAGAATTCAAGGTAATGTCAAAGGGATATTGGATAAGTCAAGAGGATGTCGAACTTAGAATGACGGTAAGAAATACAAGTGCGAGGATGATGTCGCACCTTTGTACGCGGGAAAGTAATGCTCAATAAATCTGCCATGACCGCTCTTTATTGACTGATCAAGACTGTAAGACGTTTTGCCGAAAAATTCTCACACTTCACCATGAGCTAATAGGTGACTTGATGGAATCACTATGTTTATCTCAGTTGCAGAATACATCAATTTGACAAGACGTCTGAATTTGCTAAAGACGACCCTCAAGATCTTATACTTTGTGATTATTCTACTGATGTAACTTAGGAAGATTATCTTGTCGATCAAGTAATAAAATAGATACTGTTGTAACAATATCCGTGTGCGGAATTACGTCCGAAACATTTCGCAACCCAAAAATAAACGCGACAACATGCATGTGTTCAAAAGAATATTTCTCCTGTCATAGCTCCACGATCAGTGCAGTTCCAAAAATAGCCTTTCTGTCATGTTGACAGCTAACGTGCCCTACAAACGCTACTCTAAACAACCGTAGAATCACGAAAACTGGGACCTTTTCGATAAAGAAAACTAGCTTGAATTGAACTTAAGTTATCGAAGGGTAAACACATTAAGGAGTAATCCGAGATAAGCAACAAATCGTTGCGAGTTCGCGGAGGGTTCGAGTGAGCGGCGGTCAACAGAAGTAGACAAAACATATCTAGAGCATAGGTGCTTGCCAAATACAAATATCATGTCTCTGTCATGCGTATTACAATTTTGCTGATACATCATATTACTTGCGTAAGCATTACCGTCGATGCTCGGAAAACAACTAACGAGAGCAAATTTTTCTCGCTGCGTTTCTCATCCACGAGTCTATTATTTACGACAAAGATGTATGGTCATAGACCCTGGGAACCCGTGTACACTTATGGAGAAGCAGTTCGTGTTGGAAGAGGCCCCAGTTATCTTGACGTGATAATTCGCTACAATAACCCCGGTTTTGGACGAGGAGGTAATTTGAGTCTGTTACTCTACAATGCTTGCGCAAAATTGGGGTTATTAAAAAGGTATCGCATTCTAAATTCTCTTGTTTAGAGTTCAGCGTTGATCGCGGAAGGATACTCAATCAACAGCCGGTAAACGGCGGACGAACACTGCGTATTCAGACATACAGCGGACATGATTTTCAGATCACCCGTCGACAAGGAGGAGGTACTTTTCTTTCCTTGCATTTGGATTTAAACACTAACAATACTCCTAACATTAACTATGATGTGATTTTATCTTGAAGAATATGTTATGGAAACATACGGTTACTGGTGCACGAAGATATAGCGCGGCTAAAATTTGTGACGGTAAGATACTTTCATTATCATTCTCTCTAGCACAATTTAATGACATTGGTTGACAAGCCTGCATAGAAAACCATCTACCGAGTCATTCAAAGTTGTTCAGTTATGTCATTCATTGATCTCACATTTAAAGAACGGAAGAACTAAGTCATTTCAACGCACAGGGAAATTCATCAAATAAATTGTTTCATTTGTAAAACGTGCGCCAATTGATCTTCTCTTCCCTTTTTTATTTCAGGCTTTGCCGAGAAGAACAACACATTTATTCCTATATATTCTACTCAATCGAATTTTGTAATCACTTAAAAGTTAAGATATCATGAATTCTGTAACAATAAAAATTAGATTATTACTCTCACAACACAGATATGTCTGGCCTCTATATGGGCATAATTGCATCGACACGTGTCCCCTTACTTCATTAAGAATGGCTAAAAATATATTTCTCATCTAACTTAAGAATGCGCAAAATAAGCACATATTGTGGTGTTGTATTTCTCGCAAGACTATACATAGAAGAGAGATGAAAGCTTACTTGATCTACGTATTTAGACTAAAGAGTGTGATATCAAATCATCATTTAGATTCTCAGATTTGTAGATGGTCCGAATAATTGGGTTTATAGTGCCCCAACTTCTAAGGCTTGTGTGCGCGGATATTGTGAAGTGATCCAACTAGAAGAGAACACTGCTCTAGAAACTCTCTTCTGAATTTCAGAAGATAAGTGACGCCTGGGTTTCTATACGCTAGTTCAAGTTAAACATGTATGAGACCGGTAATAACCTCGCTAAATCTATCAAATGTCTCAGTTTCACTTGAACAAATAAAAGAAATGTCTCCGTCTGATTAACATACATTTTCTCCCCCGCGGTCAAGACGATTATACAAAATCCTAAAATAGCTTGTCTAGAATTCAGGCATCCTGTATACAAACAACCCAACAATATTTTGTCACTGAGCACAATTTAGTTTGAGTATGGATAAGTCTGCGACAATACTTAAAGTCATGAAATTTCTTTAGTCTAACATGCAAGACGAACTATATTTAGCTCAAGTTTAGATGACAATACAACGACATCGATTGCGCGCACATTGCGAGAAAACACGCGAGATAACATCTCCGCCCACGCGCAGCCCTGCGATTGTTACGCATTGATGCATTTTAGGTAAGTACTGTCCATAAGTGACTCTCTGTTTACTCGCTTATATTTCAGTTCCGCTTAAACTTTCTGGCAATGGAACAAGGCGAACCTGGTGTCAACTTCGTCGAGATCAAATTGGAAGACATTTTCAGTTCGCGTTGGGAGAAACTTCGTTCAAGAACACGACGTAGTAGTATCTTACATCAACCCAGGTCTAGGACGAGGAGGTGAATATAATATTTCATAAGATTTGGTCAATCTTTGGAATCATCTGAACACATCTCTAACTCATGTTTGCTTAATCATACAGGTTTCCGAGTCAGTCGTGGAGGTATACGTAGCGAGGTTCCAATATCAGGTGGTCGCAGACTAACAATTGGGTACTCCATAGGGAATAATTTCAAAAGTTTTGAGATTACTCGCAGTCAAGGAGGAGGTTCGTATCATTCGATTTTTACCTCTTCTTTTAGGTAAATCATAACTGAAGAAAAATTAATAAAATCTAACCTCTTGCGGTTTATTTTAAAGGATATACACTGCACACACACGGCTACTGGAAGGTGGAGTTAGGACGCAAGTTCTTTTAACAGGGAAGGTAAGGCATTCATGGAGTAATTCCTTCTCAAGCGATCAGCAACAACGAAGACCGATTTTAGACCTTCAGAAAACCGTTAATAAACGTATCAATCAATGCTTAAGAAGTGTCTGATTTGCTAAAAAAAACTCTCATATCCAAATACTTAAAAAATCACTCCTATTTTATGAGACATCAAACACATTCATTGTGATACTATTCCTAAGGAAACATTCAGTAACCGGTGTTTCTTTTCGCATTTCAGACTGATTAAAGCCAGAATTTTACTACACACCCATAATTTTACGGGAGACCGTAATATATCAAGTGCTGTCCACAATGGAGCATCAGTATCTTTGTGATATTTTTTAACACGGAGATAGCCGCCATGTTGGTTTGCACAATCATTTTGAAACAATCCTTGTTACTTAATGTATATCTACTGAAAATAACCTCTTAACGAGGACATATGTAAGCAAAAGTGGGATAGACTATACTATTTCTTATCTGGGTTAGTTTTCTAGTACATATTTATCCGTTCAACGTCTTTTAAAGAATATTAATTTCACTTACAGCGCGCGAACAACTCAGCTTTAGTACAACTCGCTCGAAAGGCGTTCATTAAGCAGCAAGCTACCGAACAAGTCTGTTTGCATTTTAATACTTAACTAGCATGTTTATTAGAGCATTGGAGAGCTAAAATAAAGATTCATTCCACAAGGTGAATTGTGAAAGTTATTTATGTTTCGCATAGAGAAACCGGAAACCGTTAACAGTAACTAAACACAGCGTTTGAGAACACGCGCGTCTAAACCAATTGGCGCAATTCACTCAAACGGAAATTCTAGATATTGATTGAGCAAACCAAGAAAGCTACCCATCGTGTCCAACATCTCTTTCCATTCTCACCCATATAACCATCACCAAAGTATTATGAAATGTTGAGAACGCGAAATTTTATATTTTTATTGTCTCTCAACGTTAACGATCAATAATATATTACGTCTCTTTAGCATTGCAGGCTACTCGTATGCCGTCTCTTCAGACTTAGCGACCTTAGTCCTATTAGCACTGGGTATTGTTGTGATAGCCGTCCGTGAAAGTTATTCCAATTTTGAGGCAATAAATTTATCCTTTTGCTTGAAGAGAAATACCTTGTATATGTTTTTCTTCCTCTATTGTAAGTACTGACCAATTGGTGTCTTGTATGACATATTGATGACCGCCCACGCACGCACTGAATCACATTTACACGCCACATAAACAAAGTTTTGACAAAAAGCGTCTTTCTCTTTACAACTTCGCTTGCCTGTGGATCACAACAATAAATCTATCCTTTTGCTTGAAGAGAAATACCTTGTATAGGTCTGTTTTCTTTTACTGTAAGTGCTGACATACGATCCATCTTAAATAAAAATTAGCAGCTAAAAATAAATCCCTCGACAACCATATCAAAAATGCGCCGAATAAGCATTTCTTAACGCGCGCACGTGGACAAACATACGCACACACCAGGTGCTTCGTTTACAGCTGAGCTAAAAATGTGATGACTCAACAAATTGGGGAAATACGGGTGGATATCAGCGCTAAAAAGCCACTGCCAAATGCTATAAAAGCACTGCGTCTCTGTTGTTCGAACATCGAAGGATTGCGCTGCTCAAGCTGTTTCATCATAAACAAGAACCAAGATGGCTCATGTTTGCCACCAACCTACAGACCCAACAAATTCATTTGTGGAAATCGTTCAGATTGGAAGAAACTTCGTGCATCATAAAGATGTGACGCTTTACTATAACTCTGGTCATGGAAGAGGAGGTAGACTAAGTGTGATAGTTATGTGTTATGTGTTATGTGTAAGTTGACATTTCTCTCCTCATTTTAATCCCTAAGAATTTACAGCACACGGAGGAAATATAAGTCATATCGAACGCCACGGCAGAGATCGAAGACTAACAATTGAAACTAGAAGCGGACACAAATTTGATATCACTCGCCATAGAGGAGGAGGTTTGTAAAGTTTCATCTGTGTGTTTCAGTTCAGACATTTTATCATTCACCCCCGATTTCATGGTAGCGTACAAACCGTGATTTATAAGATATGATTCGCCCCAGACAACTCACTTATACTGATTCCGCACAACTGTAAAAACATCCTCCCTGATTTTGAGACAATTTGTATATAAAGAGAACGTTTAAATGGTTTATGAAGGCTGGTAGACTTAATGATGTTGCGTCAAATGCTGTTAAATTACGCGCGTCCAGTTCTAGCTGTTAAAACCTGACCAAAATATTTAACTACTGTTAGCCAAGAAGCTTAAATAATACCTTTCACCCTCTCTTTTCCTCACTCTAAAGGCTATCATTTGAACACTGGAGGATACTGGCACAAAGAAGAACGTTTATACCACTAAGCGCGAGGTAAGACACTTCATACACATCTTCCTCTCACGCAATTCAAAGAAAGCGATCTGCATATATTTCAACGAGCGAAACCTATATCGTCCACTGAAGTATTATGATCTATATGTGGCAGTAAAATTGAACTATTTTACTTAAGCAAGAAACTTTAAATGAGTGTAGGTAATCATTCAAAAAATACGCCAACTGATCTACAGTTACATTTTGTTTTATTGCAGGTTTTTCTTAGAGGAAACATTATCTTAACCTCTTTATTAGTAAGTTTGTCACAAGATCCTAGAATAGCCCAGGCTGTAATCGACGAAAAGGTTAAAATTCTGTAATCAGTTCAAAGAAAATAAAATTTGTATTGTGTCATCAAAGAGAGTGCTGTTCTCTTCTTTTGCATGGTTTCAATATCAAAAGTCCCCTTAGACCATAAAAGGGGAGCTAAAAATAGGTTTCTTATCAATCAGTTTAGAATGTGCAGCCAAAGCAGATATTGTGCCGCGCAGGCGTGGAAAACGTCGAGTAGCGAAATATAACAAAACGGAGGAGAAATAACGAGAAATCAGGGTTATACACTGAGTAAAGCATCACAGGTTAACAACAAATCACCGTCAACCTCCTCGAGAACCGTAGGCAATCAAAATGAGTGGTGGATACCATCCCCCAGAGCCAAAAGCGCGCAAATATTGTGAAGTAGTCCAAATAGGCATCGAAGACGACACTGCTGAAGTAACACTTTTCTACACTCCAGAAAGAGGTTTTAATTCTGCTTTTCTGTACAATTGTATGAGATAACAACGCGATAACACCCGCTTAAACTCGGTATTTTTTTTAAATACATCTCCAGAATTTCAAGTAAGCAACGGATACGTATTGGAAGATAAAGAGGAGAGCAATTACGGCCGCCGATACCGCAAATTGAAACTCGTTACTTCAAAAGCTAACGTGATTGAAGTCAGGCGATATAGCAACGGAGGTAGGCATTTATGATCATCATAGAAGTTTCAACGTTATTTGCACAAACATTGATACACCAATTCGTTTCTTTTGCGCCAAGAATATCACGTGGACGCCGACGGGAGAATTTTTAACTTCGAGGGAAGAAAAGTTGAAGTGTAAAAGGTAAGTTACTATGCAAGGCGAACTCTTGAATGTGCACCAAAACGTATTTAAGTTTCTGAGACCTAAAGATGTAGTTTTCTTTATTTGGCCAGAAGAAGGCTTAGAAAGACGCGCTTCACAATACAAGCGAGTACGCAATAAGTAGCTCCTGTTCAATAAAGGCGAAGAACAAAGTCAATTTGGCTTGTTCTTACGACAAGAGGGCCCATTTCACCGCTCAAAGCTTTGCCAATTCGACTGATTTCGGTAAATCCCATGATAGTTGTGGCAAAACTGAATTTGTTAGGTGAGCGCCTTTGTGCATATCTTTCGGTTTGCTTAACATGCTGGAAATCAATACTACTCATCTGACTATAAATAGGCATTTCTGCTAAGGGTAACTAACAAAAATTGTATTTTCTTTCCCAGAGGATTGCTCAAGAAAGACTTCGATTGACAAGAGATACAGCCCACAGATCTTGATTCTAATTTAACGTAAATAAAAAAATCATGTTAACTGCCATAAATTGTCAAAATGTTTATACATTTTCGTGCATTGGTGAAACTATTGTGAAAATAACAGGCAACCAATTCAGCAAGCCCCAAAAGCCACCAATCACTGAATAGTGGGAGGTACCCAGACACTAAAAAAAAAGTTTTAAAATGTTCTCGGCGAAGCAAAAATAAAGCATTCCTGCCATTCTAGTCTGTTCAGAGTCAGTTTTCTCCTTTCTGTAGCTCCGCCTTCTGAATATAATTTAACCTTTCACGCGTAACACGCACGTTGACGATGATTGAAAAATCAAGTCAAGCAAATGACCGATTTCGATAATCGCACCACAAACGATTACTAAGCGGACTGCATTACCTTTGTTAGGAAAAAGATATACTAGAAGATATATGTAAACAAATCTTGAGTTAAAATCTGGTTGTGAGATAGTGACAAAGAGAAATTGACCCACTGTAAGAATGTAAACAAACGAACAACACAAGCGCAAGAGTGCGAGGGAAATTACGTCGCTCGGGAAGCGCGCGCGAACGAGGAAGCGAAACCGAAAGCTCGCCAATACCAAACAAAGGTCTGGATAAAACAACTGAGCGAAGCAGCTTTCTCCCAGTGTATTCGTATTACGCGCATTCGACGTTGCCTCCAAGACAGTGCAAACCTTCTCTCTCAGTTTTTTTAAGAGAAATGGAGCCTAGGCATGGTGAGAAAGTATCCCTAGGAAAATACTGCTGCCATAACGATGCGGATGCCATACTACTGTACTCTCTGGATAGAAAAAGTAAGTAACTTTAACTGTTTTGTGTAGCTCTGAAGTCTCAAATTTACTAACACGATATCCGGAAAATGCAGAGTTCGAAGCCAAGTATGGACAAATAACTAAGGAAAAAACCTCTGGGAGAGGCACAACAGTGAAACTGCGATCGGACAGTGGATATACTTATAAAGTCACTCGGCACGGTAAAGAAGGTAAGTGAAGACTCACTGATTTCAACCTTTTTATAGGGAGTTACGCATTTGTAACGTTGTCGCAGTCAACAGATAACGCAATTTCACATGATCTCTTTCAGCGTCTCATTATGTTAGTGGTCTGAACTATCGTCAGCTGAATACTTTCGAATTCATTACCTTAGAATAATTTTATCATTTGCGTAACCCGTTCATGTTAAGTGCTTCTTCTTGTTCCTCTTCATCAAAGATTATAGCACTGGTTGGCGTACCTGGAAGGAGGTTGAGACTGTTACCTTTTAACTGTGGTAAGTGTATGAAATTCAACATGCTCAATCAATTTTGTTCTAGAATAAAAGCCATTCTTGTACAAACAATTTGCTTCCTAGCGGGCATAATTCTCAGAATAAGACTTAGTAATCAAAACTTGGATATGTTGGTTTAGCCAAGTACTCTGCTTGGCAATGGGCATGTTCCTCACCTAAAGCAAGTAGTAATTGTAAATTTCTCTGTTTGTGATCTGCAATGAAAATGCGCTCTTTTCTTATTTCATCTCAATTGCAGACTGTTCAAGAGCACTGGTAGAACCACTCTGCTAAACACTGGGAAATTGTTGATTTTAAACGAACCAAGAGCCTTATAAAGTTTGTAGCATGGTATAAAACATATACGAATCTTAATGCAATTTTGCTGAGCACTGCTAGAGCCACTCCGTTAAACGCTGAAAAATTGTTGATTGTAAACGAACCAAGAGCCTAATAAAGTTTGTAGCATGGCATAAAACACATATGACTCTTAATTCAATTTTGCTGATTGAACATACAATGCGTAAAAGAAGCGTGTGCACGCCAAAGCAGAGTTAATGAACTCCACGCTTACTCTATTTTCAAAGGACACAAATATTGTAAATAACAGCAAATGAATCGAACGGTACTTTCCGGAAATTTTTTGCCATTAGAATTCAGGATCAGTAAAGGATTTATCTTTCGAGTGCAGCTGAAAGGTGGAAACAGACGATTAACAATCGCAACTTAAACAGGCCACACATTAAATATCAGTCGCCATCGCGGTGGAGGTACTTGCTATCACATATTTGCGTATGCTTTTAATCGGGGTCAACAATGAAATGAAATCTTGTGCGGCTACAACAATCCGTTTCAATGTCAAAAAAGGTTCCCTTAGATCATAAAAGGGGAGCTAAAAATAGGTTTCTTATCAATCAGTTATGAATGTGCAGCCAAAGCAAATATTGTGCCGCGCAGGCGTAAAAATAGTTAAGCTGCGAAATACGACAAAACGAAGGAGAAATAACGAGAAATCAGGGTTATACGCTGAGCAAAGCATCACAGTTAAACAACAAATCATCGCCTATTTCCTCGAGAACCGTGGGCAATCAAAATGAGTCACGGATATCAACCCCGAGAGCCAAACGTGCCTAGATACTGCGAAGTAGTCCAAATAGGCATCGAAGAGGATACTGCTGAAGTAACACTTTTCTACACTACAGGAAGAGGTTTGAATTCTGCTTTCTGCACAACTGTATGAGATAAGAACGCGATAACATCCGCTTAAACTCGGTATTTTTTTAAACATCTCCAGAGTTTCAAGTAAACAACGGATACGTATCGGAGGATAAAGAGGAAAGCAATTACGGCCGACGATACCGCAAATTGAAACTCGTTACTTCAAAAGCTAACGTGATAGAAGTCAGGCGATATAGAAACGGAGGTAGGTATTCATGATCATCATGGAAGTTTCAACGTTATTTGCGCAAAATATTAATACACCAATTCATTTCTTTTCTACCAAGAGTATGACGTAAACGCCGATGGGAGAGATGTTTACATCAAAAGAAAAAAAGTTGAAGTGTAAAGGTAAGTTATTCTGAAAGGCGAACTCTTAAATGTACACAAAAACGTGTTTAAGCTTCTGAGACTTAGAGATGTTTTCTTTATTTGGCCAGAAGTGGGCGTAGAAAGACGCGCTTCACAATACAAGCGTGTACATATTTCTCAGAGTAAGACCTAGTAATCACAGACTTGAGTATGGCAGTTTAGCCAAGTACTCTGCTTGGGAGTAGGCATGTTCCTCACCTAAAGCAAATAGTAGTTATAAATTTCTGTGTTTGTGATCTGCAATGAAAATGCGCTCTTTTCTTATTTCATCTCAATTGCAGACTGTTCAAGAGCACTGCCAGAGCCACTCTGTTAAACATTGGAAAATTGTTGATTTTAAACGAACCAAGAGCCTAATAAAGTTTGTAGCATGGTATAAAACATGTATGACTCTTGATGAAATTTTTCTGCATGAACATTCAATGCGTGAAAGAAGCGTGTGCACGCCAGAGCAGAGTCTATGAACGCTACCCTCGCCCTATTTTCGATGGACATGAATATTGTCACTTCAATCGAATTTAGTCACTCATTAGAGGCCATGAGAGCACACGACGAGTAAAAAATACTACTGAGTAAGGATTTGACCACCGCCGTAAGCAACAAAGTTGATAAATTTACTTCTTAGATGAAATGAAGCTTTTGTCTGTAATAGCGAGTGAGATAAGTACTAGCGTGTTAAAAACATGTTTCAGCAACTACGGCATTCTAACCGAAACTATTCCGTAGAAATCTGATGAAAAACATTTCGTAACCAAATTAACGTTGGTGTTTAGTCAGGGTACGCTTTCGTCACTATGGGAAAAACTTGAAGTCAAAGTCGAACTCGTGTCTCGGAAACCTAAGAGTCTCAAATGTCAACTCGCTCAGATTGAATCCTACAAATCCTGAACATCTTACCCAAATAAAAAATGACATGCATGCAATACTTATTCATTTCAACTCCACAACTGATTAATAACGCGTCACATTTCAAGGCAGGCAAAAGCTTCTGCGACAACAGATGAGAGCTGGAAGGATGAATACCCCAACCAGGAGGTAAAATCGAAAAACACGATGGTTAAACCACAAATTAACTACACGCGTCAATTTAGATGAACACAAAGCCAAAAGATGCACATGCTCAGACATGAAAGCGAGGTTAAAATGCTCTCTTATCAGTGGAAAGAGAGAGGTGGAAATGGCGTATCTTGTAAAAATAAAGAGTGACTCGCCTGCGATTCTGCTCAAAATCGGTGTAAGAATTCGACTATGATCGAGAGATAATTAAAACAAGTGTTCTAAATTAGCACACTGATTAATAAGAAAGCCAAATCCTATGAAACGATAATGAGAAAAATACAAACAAATAAGACGCACGAATGGGTAGAGACTAACCTTGAGGTTTGCGCGCGTAAAATGGAGATTAGAAGGCAACCAATCAGAAACAGCCACAAGGATAAAATTTTCTTAAAAATTTGTCTGGCGAAGCACTTTTGCTGCAGTGCTTCGACAACACGCAAACAACGTCTTATTTGCTATATCTGCAAATTTATTCAAACTAAGAAGAGTAAAATGAACCCTTTCCAACCTGACGAGCCGCGGAACGACGTCCTTGAAGAAGTTTATCTAAAACGTTTGGAACATCGGAATGCCGATGTGAAAATAACGTACGACACGAGACGTAGAGGTGAGTCTTCCACTAATCTTCTTTGTATCTCAAAAATCCATTTACTTTCTTTGATTGTTAATTTTAATCTTGCTAGATTACAAGGTCGTCAATGGCACTCTTAAAAAAAAGGAGTGTGTAAATGGGTCTACTAAATTGACGATTCTCTCCAACTCCAAGCACCAATACACTGTCACCCGAAAGCGAGGAGGAGGTATGTTTATCTAGATCGGCGATTGTGGCACATGAGTGAGGTTTAACAGCTTTTTCGTTTATTTAGTGTAGGTTATGATAGGAAAAATTTGAAGAGATGTAAGACATGCATTTACAGCCATGGCTATCTGCTCGCTGACCTTCCTTTTAGCTGTACTCTTCTATATTTTTTTCTGCTACGGTTTCACTTAAGATTCGTCACCTTAGGTTTAGAAGCTTGTTATGCTTAGAAAAACTCTTGTTTGGCCATGTCTTTATCCTAATCGCTGAATTGCACAATATACAAGTACAGCAATAATGAGAATTATAAATTCCCATAACTGAGACCTTATACCATTCTTGCTAAATCTTCTTCGCAGTATACGAAACTAACTATAGGAATTGGATGGAGGTCGAGAAGACAGAAATATGATGAGGTAAGCCGTTCAATTAAACCATAAAAATGTGCAGTCGTGTTTTCCCAAGTTAGCATGCGAAATGCTTTGCGGTTTACATCATTGTCATTAACAACTATTCTGATCATCTCATAAGCTATTCATATCATCTGAGATTCATTTCTTGAGTGCGCAGCTCATTCAATACAGTGGCACCGATTATAATACTAAGTACACTGATAGTCAAGGTTGTGAAATTACTCGATTTTAGAGTTGATATATTCTAATTTTTTCTCTGATCTTCTTCGCAGAAATCTTTCGGAAGTCACAAGAAAGCTTTAAAGGCTATGGAACATTTACCTAAAAATATTTCAATAGTCGTGAAAAGCAATAAATAAAGTTTTGAGGTGAAGTATTACAGTATCCACGTTTCCTGTATGATTGAATCTGTTTAACGTGATCACTCGCACGCAAGAAACAACAAGATGAAATAACATCTTTATCAAGTTAAAGATCGCGAGAGTAAACAATTTAATATCACAAATTTGAAGTCGATATATGAAATTTGATTGAAGAAAACTTAAGTCACATTAACACTGTTAACAATAGTGCAAGAGGCAGAGTACCTGCCGAGCGCTAAAACCGTTTATCGACTTGAAAAGCATGTTCGTTGCTATTGTTCCAAAGAGGTTTTCACGCCCGATGTCACAAGGAAATTAGCATAAGGCATGCATGCCCAGTGGAAGCAACAGTGCGTCTAAAAGCGCGGGTCGTTAGTGAAGCAAATGTCATTTAAAAAATGTCTTATTTTTTCATGCCAAACTGCCATGGCTGAACTGCTAGAACCGTCCAATAATTTCGTGGAATTCGTACACGTAGAGAAGGACAGATACAACAGTTTTCGGGAAGCGGTAACGTTGTCTGAATCACGAGGCAGTGGTAAGGACATAGCGCCATGCGATATTCCTGCGCAATTTAACAACACCTTTCCTAGAATACTACACTGAATAAATGGTAGAATTTTCCGTTCAAGTTGAGCGTGTACTGTCAATCGTAACCTCGACTGGAGACAAGATCGAGATTCGTTGCGCAAAGCAAGGTAGGTCAAGAAAACAACCGCTTCAACAAATGCTTTTTTTTCTAAAAGGAGACAACGAAGAAAGATACACAATACTAAGCGGGAATGGACACAGCTTGAGTGCTACTTAAACGCACTTAGCAAATTAAAACCGAGGTAAGAGTCTCAGTATCCGATTTATAGCAAGGTTTGATAACTTTTCTCTATAATTCAAGAAGTTGAAACATTCGGAACTATAGAAATGCAACTGCGTTTTACTGTAGGTGGTAAAAAACGATTTCTTACAGTTCAAACAAGGGCTCAAGAACAGTATTACATACTTCAATTGTCTATTCTATGTTTTGAAAGACGCTATAAGTTAATATGACCATTCGAAAAAAAGATGAACAAACACTGCAAAGGAATGCTTTACTCAAGGTGGAGAAATTACTTCTTGTTTAATAATAATTTGCCTTAAGCGTAACATTATCCGGACGCCGCTCGAAGGTCAATAGATCAAGATTTATTTTCTTCTTAAGTTTGGCCCCTCCCTTTTGATGACGGTGGAATTAAATTAAATTCTTTGTTGGCAAGTCAGATATCTCACGCAACGAAAGAGTCGTCTCGCGGAATAAATATGTTTTAAAAAGCTTATCAAGATTCTTGGATTATTCACGAAAACCTACACCTAAGCAAGCCACAACATCACTTTAAACTCACAAAGTAGCCATACTTCACTCAAAATTCCATCACTTTGCAGAATAATGCAACAGGCTTTCATTGCGCAAACAAAGCAAGCTACTTAAGAAGACAAGCTTCAGCGAAAAGAAAAGAAAACTGCGATGTAAACTGAACGGTTTCTTCGAATTTCATCGACGCGCAGGATTACTGTCATGATGGCTCCAATTTGTTACTTGTCGATATTTAGAAACAGAGCAGAGGTGCGTCACAGATATAATGCGTTTTATAAGGAACACAGAAAGTCTATCTCGAGTAAAAGACACAGAATTTGAAAAAAAAAACTGCATCAACACACCTTACGATTATCTTTGACATCCTCCACTCATACTGAAGCCATCAAACAGAATATTTTCAAATCTTTGATAAGAAATTCAACATTTCCACTTGCGCAACAAACAAAGGAGAGGTACGAGAGCTTTCGACGCATTCAAATACAGCAGACCATGTAAATTGTGAGGAGTATTGTTTTTCAAAACTTGATTGATATAGACAGGACGTGAAATTGACAGCTTGACAACGTCAAATGCTAATTTTTCTTCTATTGGCCGTAATATCCCAGTCTGATTGCCCAATTTGCCGTTGTCGATAACAATACAAACAACACTGCTCGCGTCAAGGTGCCACGATCGTGGTCACGCACTGAAAAAATCGTTTTATTTGACGTCGATCTTGGGGTAAAAAACAAAACAAAATCAACTACAGCGCAAGGAGAACTTTTTCTAGAAGCCTCCTGAATTCTGCTTTTGAGCGATCCGTCAATAATAAAATGAACACTGAAGAGTTAAATCACAAGACAACCACAATCATGCCGCAAAAGTATCTGGAAACAAGAAACACACTAATGACACTCGAATGTAACACAGCGAACAAACACCAGCACACGATGATTCAACGAATAAGAGTCGCATCGCAATTGAATGAAGTTGACCAGATAAAAAAGAAACCTAATTTACACTTCTATCGGAGACAAAAAAATTTACAAATCCGACGTCAATATACACGCTAACGTGCAGCCACGAGTTGCGCGCAAGTAATTAAGAAAAAAAGGCGCACCGCGCGAGGCGTGCGCGTGAAAGGATGCAAAAATTGAATAAGAGATCTAGCGATCGAAAAGTGCGTGCATTGCTTAGCACCCTTCGACACACAAGAAAAGCTAAAAAAATTCAAACATGAGCGGATATCAGGGGAATGAACCTTTCAACGACTTCATTGAAACAGTGAACATAGGAATACGTTTTTGGAATATATTTTCTCCAGATGTAATATTAACTTACGTTTCCAGGACAAGGAGTAAGTTGTCGTCAGATACGAGTTTCACTTTGATGAACAGGTCAAAATTTTTTAGCTGTAAATTGGATCATTTCAGGTTTTCATATCATATACGGCGAAATAGTGGATAGGAAGGATGAGTCGGGAACTATCACTTTGAAAGTTGAATCAAATGGAGGATCCATGTACATCATCACACGAGAAAAAGGTACGTATCGAAGCGACGCCATCTTGCCATTTCACGTAGTCGCCATTAAATTTATGCTTGGAAATATATTCTACTGTGAGTTAAAATAAAGTTATCATCGTCATCGTACTTGAAGTTCTCAGAGTAGAATCAAATTTGGCCATCTCATATTCAAGTCAGAGTAGTAAAATTGTATTAATATTTTCTTTCCTACCCCAACAGGAGTCTATAGTGCATACGAGACAAAAGGTTGGAGGATTTGGCTACGTGCAGGGAGGAGTTATATCAAACGGAAGCCTCAAAGCTGATCTTCCTGCACACATTTCAGCTCGTTTTGATGTTATCTATTTGAATTATTCGAGATAGTAGAGCTCCTTTTCGCACAATGCAGAAATTATTGTACACTGAGCTACATTAGTTTATTAAAGCGTTTGCATAATTACACTGGTCGTGCTTCACTTGCAAAAATTCTTAATTTAATGGCTAAAATTCTCCATATCCTAGAACCTTTATTAAGGAACATAAGCCTTTGCTTCCTCGGAGTTTCCGCAACAATTTCTTAACTGAAATATGAAGAGATAATGCCAACATATTGAGTTGAGTTAATCAACAGACTCCAAATCGATTTATAAGATTGTAGATAAATTTCTTTAGTTTCGACAGTAGATACCTCGGCTGGTACAGAAACTACTAACTCTACTCCCTCAGTTTAAGCACTAAGGTTGAAATCAAAATGCCACAGGAGAGACTCTCAGGCGATAAATAAAATAACGAAAGTCCGAAATAAACAACCTAGAATTAGGTATATTTATTTCAAGGAAATGCGCACCAAGAAAATGTATTTTCGCTTCTGCGCATGAGGCCTGGCAAATGCGCCTGTGAATAAGGTCTCACAAACTCAAAATTATACTCGGTGGAAAAACGTTGCTCATCAACTTTGAGATAAAAGATGGCAGGGTTTCAGGGACCGGAGCCATCGTCAAGATTTTGTGACATAATAAATGTTGGAAGGAAAGAAAGAGGACAAAGAATTCGACCTCATGATGTAACAATATTCTACAAGGTGAACTCGGGAAGAGGAGGTAAGTCACAGTTGAAATGGCATTCCTTACAACATTTTGACGCCTTTACTTTGAGAAAATTGTATTTTAAAATTAATAATTTTGTTTTTTTCACGTATTAGAGTTTGAAGTCCAGGGAGGAATCATTTTCGACTCGACACAGCGCTACGGACGACACACAATAACAGTTGTTGCGGCGCGCGGATACACATTTGGCTTCACTCGTGATTCTGGGGGCGGTAAGTGAGTCCTTCTTTGTAAGCCGTTTAAGAGCGGATTTTTGTTCTGAGGACTTCATAATTTGTTCCCGTAGAATTTCAGTTCACCACTTCACAAGATAACATTTGGGGAGAAAGATTGGACCGTGTGAACTTATGAAATCGAGAAAATACTCCTTCTGCTTGATCTTCTTCTTGGTAAGTTCTTTCGTTCGCTTTCGTATCTCTAGTCCAAATTCGAAGGCATTACTCTCGTTGTGCGTTAAATCTTATTTAACCTTTTGAGATCTATGAGTGTAATTTTCTTTACTTGGCCAAAAGAAGACACAGACAGACGCGCATAGGATATCGAACAACCGCGGTACAAGCGTTAGATTTAACGTGTCAGCACATCTGCTCTTCTCACTATAACTAGTCATTTCTGCTCCAGGCAAATAATGAGAGATGTATTTTCTTCTTCATAGGATCGCTCAAAAGGGGACCGCAATTGACAAGAGCTCGCCAGACAGTCCATTCATTTAACTTCATTAAAACATTTCACTTGAGTTGTTATGTGAATAAAAATCATGTTGACTACAGTAAACAACACGAAACGTTCATCCTTGTATGTCTATTGGTAAAAACTATTGTCGCAAGAGCATGAAATCAACTCTGTAAGCTTTAAAAACGACAAATCTCCACATAACAGCGATTAACCACAAATTAAAAAAATAATAATTAAATTACCTCACTGAGGCGAAAATAGAACATTCTCGCCGCACTGTTCAGAGTCAATTCTCTCCTTGCCTTCGCTCCGCCCTCTGAATGTTAATGAAACCGCTACGCGTGACGAGCGGGCTTACGATGATTGAAATGATGAGGTCACGCGAAATATTGATTTTGAAAATGATAGCACTAAAACTGCAAGCCTTTACTGGTTAAACTGCCTTCACCTAAAATAGAATTTCTTAAAATTTAGTGAGGAATAAAAATTAAGAAATTAGCAAAGTTACAGTGTGTCGGTAAAAAAAGAGATATCGAATCCTAGCATGAGAGAAAGGGCATGCGAAAAAACAAAACTTGCGCACGAGAGGAAACGCGCAGCTGAACGCGTGTGCGCGTAAGAGAAGCGGGAGGGATTTATTTTTTCCTGTCATTCAGGAAGGCTTGAAGACACGTGCGCCCACCATTTCATCGCAATAAACAATAATTTTTACTTCATTCCAGCAAAAGTGCCCACTGAGCCCAGTAAGTCGCGAATTGCTGACTGCGTAACGGCCATTACAAAAACCCAAACCCAGTTTTAAAACACAAATACAATTCACTTTCTTAAGAGCGTAAATAGACGCTCTGCCAAGATTCAACTCTGAGAGCGTAAACAGACGCGAGGGATAAAAGTGACGCGAAGCAGGAAGCGTGCTCGCGAACATGAAAGCGAGGCCATACACTAACCAATCAGAGGAGTTGAGAGTACGAAAAAAGAAAAAAAAAAGGAGTTGAGAGTGCGAAGTACAGCGGCCATTTTCGGTTTGACTTGCATTGCGCGTAGAGGACGCTTTCTAGGAAACATCGCAATTTATACAGAGGACAACCTGAAGGAAATGTCTTGGTATCCAACACCCGAGCCGCGGTTTAGAGAAGAAGTGTCTCTTCGAAAACGATTTCATCCCAACAACTATGTCGATGTTGTTTTGACTTACGATCTAGATAGAGGAGGTGAGTTGTTATTTGGTTTACGACATGGCTTATGAAACGATTCCTATATCATTTAAAGAGTTTGACCTCACTCTGACGTGATTTTGGACTCTCTTAGCTTTTGGCGCAAAGCATGGATGGTTCACTGAGCCGACAAGAACTTGGCTGGGATACACAAGAGTAAAAGTAACATCCAACAACTCAGGATGTAGTTATGTCGTGACCCGACGTGGGCAAGAAGGTATGTGTAGATGAATTTGAATCAATTCCGTTTTTGTCTCTCAATTGCATGACATTTATTTATCTTTCTGACCAACGCCAGATTTCTTGAGATTGATATATTTGGCAGCGATAGATCTCGAGGAGACCTAGAGTTAACCTCGTTCACCGGTGTCAAAGCTACATAAGCGAAATACCGCAAAATGTTTACTTGAACGCCTCAAGGAAGGTGCAACGCAAAAAGAAAACATAGGTAGCTCATTTCGAGCTGTGGTCATTTTTTTACAACTCATTACATGCGGAAATCAGTTTCTCCTACAGCAAAGCTTCTCCAATGCTAAATGTCATTGTTTATAAAAACAATAGGTTGAGTATTACCATAAAGACCTGAATTAACAAACACTGCCAATGATTTTGAAGCCTTGTGGATTTAAGTACATAATGATCGTTACTCAAATTTTTTATGTGGAATTCTTTAGTGGCACCCACTCGGTAATCTGGACAGATTTATTAAATATCTGAGCTCTATAGCTGAGAGGATCAATCAGGTAAAACAAAATTAGCCTAATCAGAGGAGACTTTTCCACTGATCTTTACAAAAGTAGAATCCTATAAAGCAACTGATAGTTTCATCAATGCTTTGGCCTCATACATTTTCTAGCCTTACATATTGCAACCAAAAACAATCACAGATCACTCAAAGAAGTATCAATTGATTATATTTTCAATTCAGTAGGGCACTTTACCAACAGTGGTAACATGGTACAGGATCTCACTGACCCCCCTCCTAATTTTCAATGAATTTATAACAATTCCTTGCAGTATTAAAATATTTAGGAGGGATTACTCGAAAACTAATCAGCGGCCCTTGATCGATGGCATTAAGTTAATTGACTTGGAAACTGTTTTTGTGTCTAGTGCCTGTACATGCACTTTGTTTAGATCATTCTACTCAAAACTTTCGAGTTCAATAGACAAACATAAACCAGTTAAGTAACCATCTCGAAGGGAAAAAAAGCTTAAAGCAAAGGCATTGATAACTAATGCTCTTCCAAAACTGACCTATTCGAGTTCAATTTTATAATTACAAGAAATGCCTAAAGACAAAGAGCACCTATTCCCAAACGAACTTTTGACAATACATGAACAAACTAAACTAAAAATAGAACCATCTAAAAATAGGCAAAAGACAATACAACTATAAGAATTTATTCGACAACATTAGAGATGGCAAAGGATATGGATGAGTACTATGCAAATACAACATTTCGAGTCACATACTAGCCAGAGACTTGGTGAGATTGTGGAAATTAATTCCGAAACTATTGAACTTAAACTTGTTCTCAATGTATTCAATGATTGTTTGGCCAAATTTGGTAAACACTAAGAAAGTAAAACACAAATTGTGAGATATCTGTAGATATTCCTTCCTTGATAAAAATAGAGTTTTGCATTGCAAGAACATTTTTCTATTGGCAGTAAACTTGATTTTGTTAATTTCTTTTCTGTGTGTGAACTGGTACATGTAGCTGAATTAACTTTACTTATCTCTGTTTGTGTGTGTCTATGTTAGTTTGTTTCTGGTCCCCGAGCCAAAAACATAAAGTGTCTTTCCTTTTAAGCATGAAATATCTTTCCTTTTAACTGGCAGTCTGACATTTTTAACTCTTAAGTTATGTCTTGAAGTTAAACTTCTATCATTATTCTCCTTTTCTTGGTTTAACATTAAACACTCTTTACTATTGTAAGTCTATAGTGAAGTAAAGTTATTTTGTTGTTTTTGCTGTCAATATGCGATATATTTCAGTGAATGGATCTGTGAGGGGTTTTGCATGTCCTTATTTTAACTCTCAAACATTCGATGGTACATAAAGACGGCTGTAAACGCCAGTTTCTGAAGTTGTCACTTTCTATCGTTCTACTTGGTTATTGCTCTTTTTTTGTTGACACAAATCACACTAATTTTTTTTAACAGACTATAGCACTGACGGGGATGACTGGATGAGGGTGAAAACAGTTTCCTATTAGCTGTGGTAAGTGGACTGAATTGATCGACTCCTCAGTGTCCACCAACACTCGAACATAATCTCTTAGTATGCATGGTGCTGTAATCCAATCTATCCTAATGCAATGTACGAATCTTTCTTTCTTAAATGATAATTAAGTGGAGTTTAAAAGGTACTGAGATAAACTACCGTGACGAAAACTTAAACTTGCATAATTATGTTGGTAAAATCCTATAGTTCGTTTAAAGTGACAACAAAAACGTTCTCTTTTTCTTATTTTGGTTTCAGAATATTCAACACCATTGATACAGCAAGTTCAGAAATCACTGAAAATAACCGTTTCGAGTGTAAAGGAAGGAAATAGAGTTCACACTTTGATGTCAATAAAACTTTGCCTGCATCATTTCACAAGATTAGCTAGTACTGACACCTAGAAACATAACGCGCGTGAAAGTTGTTGCTTATTGTTAATACCATTATTTCTAATAAAAGAAATGCACCTTTTTACGACCAGTTATTGACGAACCACCCTAATAAAATCTTATCCATCTTACTGTTGTACTCAAAGTTTAATTATTCATATTTCTAAGTCAGTGAATGTTGCCCTAGAGGTTTTTTCAACTCCTTGAGTGATACAATGAAAAACATGGTTACAAGGGAGAAAAAAAATTTCAAGAAACATTTATTTGGTGCTAGTTGGGTGCAATTTAAAAGCATGACATTGCTTGCTACGTTTCAATTAAAATCCGTTCGTATCCTCATATATAAACTCCTACAGTAACCGCTGTATCCTAGTGATGCCGTGTTCACTGGTATTATGGGAATCATGATATCATTAATAAATTCTGCACCAGAAAGGGCTTACTGTTATCGTTGTCGTCACAACTTAATTCGGCAGCAAACAAGCAAACATCCCTTTCTAGATATACGCTTTTTGGTTTAGTCATGAGCGGGTTTGAAACTGATGATTATGTTTCTGATACGTGCGAAATTGTCAAAGTCCTGAATAGTTTTGGTGAATCTGTAGCCACGATCTTCCGCAAGCCAAATGGAGGTATGCCTGCGGCCTTTCCAAGTCTGACATGTCAGTTGACAAAACTCACTTTCTTAACGATTTTTCTCCTTTTTCGCATCAGAATTTGAAGTTCAAGGGGCTTGTTTGGTTCGCAACGAACTTAAGCAGGAACACGTCTGGTACAATAATCTGCGCCGTTATAGAAAACTACGACTGATTGTGACTTCTTCGGGATGCGTTTTGGATATCGAGCGTCATGGCTCAAATGGTATTTTGCTGATAAATTTGTCATTGAGGTTTGTTATGAGAAAAATATATTTAAATTCAAGCACACGATTCCTCCCCTTTTAAGATTACAGGATGAGTACATCAGGATATCAGCTAACTGAAGTAAAGACGGTGAGCGTTTGAGCAAGGTAAGAAGTACAAAATAAAGCTCTACTGTATAGCACTTTATACTATCGATCAACGAAGAATAACCTTCGTTAACCATCTACGAAGTAAGGATCTATGAGCGGAGGCCCCGCGCTGATAAAGTAAAGTGATGTAACAGAAACTAAATGACGATATGATATCGATATCAAGCTAGGAAGATCCTCGCTCTTTGCGCAATTAGTAGACCATCTTTTTGAGTATGAGTTCTGGTCGCCATGATTATGTTATTGTTCAATTCCTGTAAACGAAGCACAGCACTACCCCATTATAAGTTCAATCCACGATGAAACACATGGAGGAATCCAAAAACTACAGCTATGTGCTCATGTCTCGTGATCACCGATCAGTTCTCAGCGCTGTTGTTGAATTTTACTTCTACTGGGCTTCACGAGCAAAATGGAAGCATTCACTCGCTCGTGACTTACTGTCGCGTCTGTTTACTCCATGAAAGGAGCGCCTAAGATTGAATTTACGTCTTTCGCACTTCTTTTCTCATTTAATCAGATCGCTGTCTTTCTTTGCAGAGTTAGGAATGAAGAGAATACGATTCCTGAATGTAGAAAATCGCACTGTAATGATTTTGTTAGTCGAATAAACATGATCACTTAATCCCATGTGCTTACGCGTTTCCATTGAGTTTTGTGCGCAGAAATTACTGTCTTACAGCTATACGGTACAAAAACGCAACAGCAAACGCAAATCCTTATAAGTTTGTTTCTCAGAGAAGTCGGCCAAAAAGGACACATTTGTGAGAAAAATGATGCAATATCTAAAATAGCCCAATTATTCTGGGTGAAATGATGAAGATCTGTCCTCTCACTACCTAAAGTCCCACCCCTTTTCATCGTTTTCGACTAAATCAATATTCACGGTTGGAAAGGCTAACACATCTAAAAATCGATGCCAAGTAAACATTTCGACCACGACGATCAATGATTTGGCTTCTTTAATCCTTTAAATTTCAATGTGTTGTACATTACTCAGTGATAAAGTGATAGTTAAGTTAAGTGATGGATTCTTGATTAGCGACTTAAGAGAGCACAGTGGACGACATCTTTCAATCATAACTACCGCTGGAAACACTATAGGAATCAAACGAGGAAAGCGAGGTAATGTTCTACGTGCTTTTTTTCGTTGCATTTCTTGATAACCACATCTTGGAAAACATTGCTTCTCGTCTTTTAAAGGAGACGTTCATAGAAGATACACGATTGAAAACGATGGCTTCCAACTCGCTGTCACTAGAACGTATTTGCCGAATTCCTTGGTAAACGTAGTTATCATTTATCAGTTTTCTTTTTATAATTTTGATATTGTCGTCAAACCCACAAATTCCTTAGACACTTATTCATTCGATTCATTAGATAGGTACCAAAAAATCGATTTTAAGACATAAGTTATTTCTCACCCTACTTGTTGGAGCAAAAATTTACATTGAATTACACCATAAACAGAATTTAGTGTTAGTAAAACTGTCAGTTACACAATCTTCTATTACATTAGCACCTCCACATCTGTTTTAAGTCTAAAATAGACTCCAATTTTTTTCTCTAGATCTAGGAAACTTTATTGAGGCCGATCAAGTAAAGAGGATGCTCCTGTTAAGCATGTTTAGCCCAAGTAATCTGTTAAAAGAATGGCCACGAAATAAATTCCATGAATTGACTGAGTTTTTTCTTAAACAAGTTCCTCTGTGTGACTACATAAGATTCTGCAGTTTGATCTCGTAAAATTTCCTCGAAAATGCCGAAGAATAATACGACCATCAATCAAAAGGTTTATATACAACGCGCACGCACGTTTTACTCGGAAAAGACTCGAAATGCCTCGAACGACTTGAATTCCTCTTGAAGTGCGAGAGATAAGAATCTACTTTCTCCTTACGTGTAGCTCCTCCCCATCATGAAAGGGTGGAATTGATTAGCATTATTTGTCGATGAGTCAGGCGAGGAGAGATAAACTCCATGAAATAAATAGTTTCTTTGGTTGAAAGCTAATGGTAAGCGCGGTACGAATGAGCGATCAAACGCAAGGAAAAGAATATCACGAAGTACGAACACCGACCATACCTAAAAGTAAAATGCTCCTTTACTAAAAAAAAAAAAAAAATAGTAAGCGTGCTGAGCAAGCGACCAAATTTCTTTACGACAAAAGCTTTTGTAAGAGCACAATGTAAAAGATCACCGAGATTATGAATTTCTGCCCTTTTATTTGTGCCAACCTTATGAAGACTATCATGAACTTTATCAGCTGCAGTACAACATTTCGTTCCTCTGCTACACTACACTGATAAACAATTAAAAAACGAAGTGCTGCTGTTCTGATATTCTTCACTGAACAAAGTGAGTCTCTTCTGCTTCAAGTGAAAAAAAACTAGAACAAAGAATAGCAGTAACACACCTTAAATTTCGAGCATCATTTCCAACCTCCATTTGCATTGAAGTTATCAACTACAGTTCTTCCAAATATTACTCAACTAAGCCAACATTTTCAGTTACACACCAAACAAGTCAACTGTGCTGCGAGAGATTTCGGTGTCCTTTAACACAACACTAGCCATTCAATTTTGACGTTTTTGTTTGTGATTTGTGATTGGTGTAGTCGTGACATTAAATTGACAGCTCAACGAACGACCGACATGCTATGAGAAGTCTTCCCAGAAGTCTCTAGAATTTTGGTTTTTGACTGAACATCTCATAAAATTACACGCACAACAATAGAGCTGTTAAAATCAGGGACTGAGTCGTTCGTTTACTCGACACGGAGGAAAACAATAAGGTCAGGAAATCAAAACTGAAGACGAACGTCTATCCTAGCAATTGCTATTATACGCAGACTATAGTATAGTACTCTATAAAAGAGATTATGTACCTTCACGTTGGTGGTTGCAAATATACAGACTAGAAGTTTATTTATCTTGCTTTATGTATCTTAAAGGTTTTTAAATCTCTTATTACCAATTGGCATTGGCAGTTGATTGTGATGTTCTGGAAACGACAAGAATATCCTAGAATGAATATTCGGAAATCGTTTTTGCAAGCATAATATTCCCCTGCATGGTTAAAATATCTCTTTTAAACTTTTTAAACTGCAATGCAGGACAGTTAAACAGATGTATAAGTAAGTTAGCTGGCTTATCACCCAAATTAAACCAAAAATAATGAAAACTTTATTTGATCCAATAATTATGCCCAACTCCTTGTTAAAACGCACTCAAGGAAACCCTGTTCAAAGTCTAAGGGTTGATTTTCCCTGTCATTAGGCTGACTAAAAGATGGTTGAGGCTCCATTCTGATCACTAAGTGATCGAGTCTTCTAGAACATCCTAATGTAACAGCACAACCCAGACCAGAAAGAAAATGTCAAACATCTTCTTGGATTTCAGTGTCTTGAAGAGTAACACATACATCTATTGCATTTACTCCTTTAGGGACTCAAGATATGTCAAAAACTTTTAGCACTTTGTGAAGTCTCTCCAACAGAACCAACAGAACAGCTATGAACGGTCAACAAAGTTTCGGTTTTTATGTAGGGACGTAAAAGTTAGGATCACTTTGTACAGCAAACTACTGCTGCTCAGAAGCTTTCATTTGAATGTTCACACTCCAAAGTTTCATTGACAAGCTCTTAATTAGAGCCACCTTGTGCAGCATAAGAGAAAGTACTACATGAGAGTATTGATCAGTAGTTTTCATTTGAATAGTCACACAACAGGATTTTATCTTCAGAACTCAAAGGTATAACCACTTTGAAAAATAAGATGAAGAGGAAACCACATGAAAGTATTTCTCTGTAGCTCTCATTTTGGCTGACACTTACTAGAGTTTTTGATTGTCACTTGCTAGAGTTTTGTCCCCAGGCTAAAAAAGATCTTGCCTTGCAGATCATGATTAGCAGTACCATAAGAAAGTTTTACTCCGTCTTTTGACACAAGCTCCCAAAGGCAGAGAGGAAATAATTTGTTAACCCTCTTTAAAAAGACTTGAAGTACAGGATGAGGTTTAAAATAAAATTGGAAAGAGACCGATGCACATCACACAGAAACGAAATTAGGGAAAAACCCAGAAACCACATTAACAATGATAGCATTATAGTTGTACCTCGAGATGACAATGGAATCTATTGGGATTCTCCCATTGTAAAGGGTTTTTCTTTTGATTGGCAAGGGAAGGAAAAATAGCATCTAGCTCATGCAAAAATACCCCAACGCTTGCAGCTTTGCAGATTTCGAACTCACAACCTTAATAAATAGTAACAGAGAAATCGCCAAGCAGTCAAACACACTCCCAGGGATACACAGACAATTTCGGCGGTGGAGTTACACCAGGCGAAAACATCATGGAAAATGCATCGAATGAAAAACCAGCACAGATTCCAGGAGCCAGCGAAGGTCGGAAATCAACGCCTTATCAGCGGATAGTGATAGCCTGCCCTGAAAATCACATTATCGTAGTGAAGAGATTTTCGAACGGAGGTAGGAATATTCTTGAGCTAAGTGTGAAGGATACAATGACTCCACACTCAATGGTTCGTTTGTTTCTGTTACAGAAGTTAAAGTCGAAGGAGGACGACTGGTCGCTGTTGAAGACAAGAAAGGCCGCTAGATGAGAGGTTAGTTTATATGGTTCCGTTATTTGTCTCGGAATAAATAAAATTGAAAGTAAACAAAGTGGACAATCCATGCACAAATTATTCAAGCAAATGAACTCATTTGGAGATAGTTCCCAATCATTTCTTGAATTAATGTGCTAGTTTCTGATGTGGTGAAACTTAGAAATGAGACGAAATAGAGACGAAAGAAACAGAGTTGACGAGATAACTGCATTTGCAAAGGAATACGATGACAGGGTAATTAGCAGGCGTTGGTACGCATGGCGAAGATTAAGTGACAGAAATGCATGAACGTCCCAAAGCCAAGATAAGTAAGCGGAAACTATTAATGAACAGAATGGCAGATACAAAATTCAACCCGACGTGACTGACCAATAATCGATTTCTCCTAAATTTATTCCCACAAATCAAAGAAAGTAGAGAGCTGTGTAGAATACAGAGAATTATCATAGCTTTCGTGCTGCTTATCAAGTAGTATCTTTTGTTTTCATGCTACACTAAGTCCTCAAAACAAATTTTGATGAAAAGTATGGCATTCAGTAAGGAGAACTCGTACCGATATGTCCAAGAAGAGCACTGCAGAGGATTTTGCTACCAGAAGCTTTGGCCTAAATTTCTTTAACCTTTCATTTGAAATCCATGCCCCTCTCTACACCCTCAACTGTCCTTGTCACATTTTGATTTATCATTACCCAGTAATATTTTGTTATTCCACAAATTCGATTTGATGCATAGGGGATTTGCTTTACGTTTAAGGTAATTTAAAACGTCCCCGGAAAAAAGATACTGAAAATATTGAGACCCTACGAGCTAAGTAAAGATTGCAAAGTCATTATTGAGCCTCAACTACTAATACATGGACTGCGCTTCCAGTATCTACAGTCTGCGAGATCAGTCTGTTATAGGCGTAAGCACCTGATATTTTAGGAGTAGAACAGATGAGTTTATGAATTTTCCGCACCATTTTGAGCAGGACAAAACATACAAAGGACACACTATCAAAGCTTAAAACACGCAATGGAAAGACTCACTAAAAAAGTCAGTTAAAACTACGATGTTTCAACAAGTAAAGAGATGTTACGAATAAATTTTGAGAAATGTAAATTTCTGCGAAGGGGCGTTAATGTTGTCTCGAGTAGTTTTCCCACAATTTCAGGTCTAACGCTACACCTGTAAGGCAACCGGTAACAAATTCTCCGTAGGGTATTTTGCGAATTGTTTTCAGTCTTTTTAGAGAATAAGTCTGATCTGTTTTTCTGTGATAAATCTATCTCTACTCTCTCTCTATGGAAGCTCAAACTTTCGAAGAATTAACAGCTTAGAAAATTCAGAACATACCTTCCAGAAGCAATTTCGTCAACAAAAATTGGCTTGAGGGAGCACGAAGTTTGTGTGGTCAAAGGGTCTGCCTGTCTGCTCAAAGTAATTGTACAGACTAAAAAAAGCCCCGTTGATTGCAGCATTCCGAAGATGTGTGGTCAAATCAAGATAACATAAATCTTGATAAAATAACAAAAGGCAATTAAAAACAGCATTAATCAGTGTCCTAAGACAACTTAATGGCTTCGGTTAGCTTGGGAACTTTAGAAAGCTTTGCTTACTTTTAGTAAATTTTGTTTGTTTGTTTATTTTGTACCTCGACCAACAGACTGGAGATTATTAGGACTACAAAACATAATTCTAAGTTGCTGGTAACTACACACATGAGACAACAAAGGCCCTTTGTGGGTAAATTATGAGCCATAGGCCAGCTTATGAGTTTTCTCAAACTGATAAGTTCATCGAAAAAATCGTTGACACCCAGTCTTCATTCGCCTCTCAAAATGCTAGTAATTCATTGGGTGAGACACGTGCGTTAAGAGCTTTTTCCACCTCTTGGAAACTTTTTTGAAAAATTGATCGATGATGTCACTTAAACATCAACTGATCTTTTCTTCAAAAGCGCTTCGAACCATTTGAATTTCTCGTTCATTCTTTATTAGTCCCTACACTTGTTTCGAACTATTTACTTGAGTATGGTTTTCCAGGGTTTTGTTTACGTTCTTTAATCGTAGTTTTCATGTTTACAATATTGCGGTTTTCACAAATAAATTTACTAAGACAGCGTGAAAAATTTTTATCCTCTCATTTATTCCTTTGGCCAAAAGTAACTTTGAATTGCTCGTATTTACTCTCTATTACTACTTGGAATTGCTTC